AGTATAACCAACACACCGCAGGCCCTCTTCTGTGTTATTCTCACAATATTAAGCATCTGAACTGGATCTTATGTTTGAACTGAAATCCTTTATTGTCATTGTACACAGTACACCGAGATTTAAAGAGAACTTCTCTTTAAATACAAACAGTAAAATAAGAAAACAACTCTAAGTACTAATGTGTTTCAGTTCCATCAGAGCACTGATAGCAAGCCTGTTTACTCCAAAGGACAAAAAGAATTTTACATTTCAATTAATCTGACCACAGAACAGGTTTCTACTTTGCTTCAGTCCATTTTAACTTCTCGGGTGGCTCGGTCGTAGGTCAGCAATGGCAGAAACGCCCTCAATAAAATGTTAAACTAGTCCATAAATGACATGGTGAAAGACCTTGATCAAAATTAAGCAGAATACCAACTGATAAACTGTATGAACCTGTGGACACTTCTTGGTCCAGACGTGCAACTGCAGATGCTTGCTTCAGTTGGCCAAACAGTTCCTGGTGACACCAGCTTCTTCTGGTCCTTCTAGTTGTCTCAGCAAGGGAGATACCATGTAAGCCATCCACTGTGGAGTGGTTATTATTTCTCAGTCGAAACACCTGAGTTACATAAGCACACACATCCAGTACCCCAAACACAGTACCAAAGAAAGTATCCAGTACGACCTGGTGGGAGAGGCGAAGACAAAAAACACACCTCAACCTCTCCAGAGGTACGGAGACAGTAGGAATCAGGTCATTACCAACAGATGTGTTTGTAGTTATGCTGAATTCAAGGGTGGGAAACCAGAGGAGCACCTGTCCCTGAAACACAACACCAACACTCAAACAGATAGAGAGAGGGCAAAATGAGTAAACTACAGTAAAATCAGTAAAATACTTTAACATTATGCTATAATATGCTGGCTAAAAGCATATGCTGCTATTGTTATTATAACTGTATTATTGTATGTTGTGGTATTTCCATCTCAGTTAAACAAATCTTTCATATTTGTCACATCCCTCAAACAAAGTTTCATTTAGACCACATATAAGTCCTGAATGTAAAGAATTGTGTTTTAATGCACAGGTCACAACAACCCTCCTAGAAAAGAACGCACAAAATATCTGTGTTAAAATTCATTTTCAAATGTTCAGCAAAACTGCAGGAAACAACACTGAAAACACTAACAGCAATCTAGACACACGACGCTGATGAGAAAAAAACAAGACTGTTTGTGAAGGAAGCTTTTAATGTTCCTAGCATGATGGCTAACCTTATAAATAAACATGTCATGAGTTATAACAATTACAGATACAAGCTAGAGCGTTGATCTGATACCACCTGTGTGCTTCCATCACATCAACGATCCTGCTGAGCGACTATGTCTACTGGGTCTACTGGGTCTACTGGGTCTGTGACCCAGTATGATTCTGGTTGAAGGTATAGTCTTTGTTGTTATTCTTGGTCTTGGTTCTCCTTATTGTTCTGTGTTATATCCATAGTTGCTAGTTTCCAGATTTCTGTTACTGTTTCCTGTTTTTGTATGTAGTATATTTGCTACAGTGCAATGTTAAAATAAAGTTATGTTTAATGTTATAATAAAGGTCTTTAGTTTGCCGCAGTGATGGCCGAATGAGGCTGAAACACTGACGTTTGTAATGAACAGCGGTTCATTACTCCAAGCTTTTCGACACAAGCCTCTTTGGTGACATCTGGTGGCCAAAGGTGTGAAGAGCAGCTTGAATCTACAACTTCTGATGAACTGCTTCATTATGATTGGCCACAGAGCTGAATTGACAGCTTCTGTTTGATACCATGTGACAGCTTGTCTGGTGTCTGGCTGGTGTTTTGAACATGTGTTTTTTGGGGTGAAAAAATGATGTTATGTCTATTTTAATAATAAATAATTTTGATGAATAAGCCTTCCTTGTTTAAACATGTACCATGTTCTACTGTCGTTTGTGACTTCTTGATGTTTTTATTAATAAAAAAAAAAACTATATATAACAATGTACAACACAATCTTATGATAGGTTGGGAGTAATGCTTCCTCTGTGAGGTCCCTGCCTCCACGTGAGTATGTAACTAACAAGTGGACAGGTACATTTACATACAGTATAATATACTATAACTTCTATAATTATAACTATATGTACTGTGTATTTCTTATGTTCATTTTAGACCTGGGAGCAGAATTTCTGATGAACTGGTTTCACTTTTTCACACAGGCTCATGTAAGTTTGGATTTTTTCCCCTTAATAATAAAAACCTTCATTTAGAAGCTGCATTTTCTGTTGACTTCTGTTATCTTTGTCTAATATTCAAATTTCTGATGATCTGAAACATTGAAGTGCGACAAACATACAAACAAAATATGAAATCAGGAAGGGGGCCAACACTTTTTCACACCACTGTAAATGTTTGTTAGAAACTGAAGCAGAAAGAAGACAGGACGGAGGTGATTCTCATGAACAGTTGCAATGCCCCCAGCACAACCTGTGGATATGTAGTACGTGGACAAAGCTGCTCCATTAAGTCTCCATTAAGGACTAATATATCTATAATATAGTAGGTGACCAAAAAGGCCCGAGACAGTTGGATAAAGGGACTATAATGGACAACACTGGCACTGTGTAAATCTCATTAGATGCATAAACTGAGCATGAAATGGCTACACAGTGCTTACAAAAGATCTGTTCTTACATTATCATACACTGAACTCAATTCAACCACTTACATCTATTTATCCTTGACAAGACTAGTACCTGATCAGAAGGGTAGTTATGACAAAACAAATGTTAACTACTGGCAAACCCAGTGAGAAGTGAAGGTGAGACAAGAGATGAAAGACAGAGGGACATACATGCTCCTAAGTTAAAGAAGCATCAACTCTTTCACTCTTTTCATTGCAAATGTTCCAAATAACAACACCAACAGCTGGTAGAACATGTACCACATATTGTTTTTGCAGTGGCCATGGATCGAGTCCAGTATCGGCTCTTTCCTGCAGGTCATGCCCCACAGGTGTCTGCTGTGTCTTCTGTCTACTACTGCTTCTGCCCAATAAAGTAGACATGCCACAAAATAAAGCTTTTATTATCAGCATCTCTTAAAGGTGTCACAGCAGTCTCAGGCAGTGCCTGCCTTGCACCAGCCCAACACTGTAAACTTCACCACAACACTTCAAACTAACAAGTTTAGCCGGTGTTGTGCTGCGGACGCTGGCTGTGGGAAACAAAACACAAAGCTTTTGCACAGTGCTATATATAAAGACAAACCCAGACTTCTACTTTAGCTCAAATCTTTGTGTGCTGTTTTTGTTAAATAGGGCTTTTTATAACGGAAAATTCGCTTTACACGTTTATTGCTCGTTTTTTAGCATCATTACGGTAAAAGCACTAAACTGTACGGTAATAAATTCCGCCCCGGTCTGTAGCCACGCCCCTTCCCTACAGCTGCTGTCTATCCGGGAAACTACCACAAACTGTTCTGTTGCTGTGACGGACCCCGGACACACAACGGACAGGTGAACGTGGACATTTTAATGCGTTTTCCCTTTGCTCATGTTGTTAGACGATGACGATGCTAGCTTGGAAGACAAGTAGCTAGCTACGTTAGCTCAGCGGCGTTTGCTTAACTAACGGTTATTTGTAACGTGACCCTTTTCACGTTGCAGGAGCCTACTGCGGTTAAACGGAGTGTCAGCTGTTTGCTGGTAAACAGCATTTTCATTCATCTGTCCCCGCTAACCTCGTTAGCTTGTAAATGCAGGTTATTATTGAACTCTACTGTGTTATTCTCCGCAGTGAAATTGTCGCTTGACAGCACCGCCCACTACAGCGCGCTGTGCTACTGGCTGACCGTGTGTGTGTGTGCAGTCACACCGTGTGAAACGCAATAATTCCGCTGTTTTGTTGACCGTGTTTCTGCAGTCACGCTGTGCCGAACTGTGAAATAGTTAAACACTGGTGCTGTGCAGCAAAGCGAGCTCGCCTTTAAACTGAGCGCAGCCACACGAAGGACGTTAGCTGTGCAGACTCGTGCAGACTCGTGTTTTTCCGTTGCAAATGCTTATTAACTTGATGTAAATGTCCGTGTCTCTGAGTTTGTAATGGCGTGGACCCAATGTACCGAATGAGCTGGACGCTTTTAAAAATAGATGCTGTGACATTAACGGCAGAATTCCTGACCTTGTCCTGCACCTCGATGCACTGCGCAGACTCGGAGGAGGGTCAGCGGGGTTCAGTGACTTCAGACGCGTTAACCTGCTCCAGTCTGTGCAGAGGTTTGCGGTTACATTGCAGTAATCCCTGAATTCAAATGTAAAGCATTTGTTAAAACAGCAGGAATATTAAGACTCACTATATCCGCGCACTGTAG